CTTCCTTCTCAGCTTTTAGTCTCAAGGCTAGGCAGAATCCCACCACGCTCAGGGAGGAGCCCGAGGGGCAGGGAGCCTGGCAAAGGCTTCCCAGGCCCTCATGCTGGGGTTTACTGTGGAGCCCCAGGGCTGCCTGGGGTCACTGACTCTCTATCCTGTTGCTTTCTCAGCTCCACACACCTGCTGGCCCCCACAAGCCGCACACCATCACTTCTCCCATCTGGGTGTCCAAATGGTCAGTGCTTTCTTTGTCTCACAGGAAGGTGTAAAGCAGCCCATTCTGGGGCTATTTGTTTGTAGACTGGCATCACTCTGCAGACTAGAATGTGTTTTATATTCTGGAAGAGACCGAGACATAGCTTGGTTCTGGGTTGAGGATGTAGCTTACTGGTAGAGTGCTTGTCTAGCATGTGTGAAGCCCTGGTTCCCCCCGCAGAGTACACACACCCCTGCCACCTGGACTCCCTGTCCCCATGTCTAACTCTAGGAAGATTTGCCTTCACTTTTCCTTCTGAACGTAGGATTTATCTGCTTTATTGGCAGGGACGGATGGCTTGGCACGTGGCTGTCTACTCTGGCAGTTGTTTGATGTTCACTGATCACCCAGAGCTCAGTGTACCTTGAGGACATATTTTTGCTTCCCTGGGCCTCTTCATTTTGTCTGAGGTTGCAGGGAAGCACTAGGCCAGCCCTGGGGTGTGTTTCGAGGCTCTCTTCCTGTTCCTGTGCAGGGCAGCTCCCAGCTAAGGGTAGATCTGACAGTAGGGTGAAAGGAAGGTGGTGTTGACTTTACTCAGATTGGCTATAGCTTCTCAGGCAAAGTTCTGCCTGTCCTCCAGGTTGGGATAGAAAAAAACATGGAAATCATAGTTATTCTAGGGATTAGGACTTCGGTTGTCACAGGCATTAAATGTTAAGATCTAGAAACTATCTTACTACAGATGAAGAGGCAGACTTGCCCAAGGCCTCAGAGCCAGGAGTAGGCTCCAGAGTTTGAGTCTCTGCCTACCCTTGATACACCAGAAAAGTGTTCATCCCCCTGTTGCCCGCAGCAGCCCTTCTTGACAACTTCCCCTCCTCCTCTTAGGATGCTGCAGACCTTGTATGATTACTTCTGGTGGGAACGGTTGTGGTTGCCTGTGAACCTGACCTGGGCTGATCTAGAAGACCGAGATGGAAGAATCTATGCCAAAGCCTCAGACCTCTACGTCACATTGCCACTGGCCCTGCTCTTCCTTATCATCCGATACTTCTTTGAGCTGTGAGCACAGAAGCCCTCTCTCGCCCTCCCCAAGCTACCAGTCTCCCAGCCCCTCAACTGTCTTTTGCTGTTGAATTAGTTCTAGACCCTGGTGTTCGGCCTTCCTAGTTCCTACCCACTGTGTCACCCACACCCAGGGCACTATTGTCTTCCTGAGGGCTCAGTATCCCCAGGCCCTTTGCTTCAATGGCCATTTGTTCTCACCCACTGCCCACTACCCCGCCTGGTCACTAGGAAACACAGGCAGCTTTGTCAGCTCTGGGCAGCTCAGGAGACTACATGGAAGGGGGTGAGGCCAGACTACATGGGGAAACTGAGGCCCAGAATAGAGCTGCCTGAACTTGAGCTTCCCACTCCCACCTTAGGGACTGGGAGCACTCCGAGAGCATGACACCTCTCTTGTTCCTTCCCTAGTTATGTGGCCACACCACTGGCAGCCCTCCTGAACGTGAAGGAGAAAACTCGGTTGCGAGCACCTCCCAATGCTACCTTAGAACACTTCTATCAGACCAGAGGCAAGCAGCCCAAGCAGGTATGCACTGTGCACTCTTGTGGCTCCAGGAGTCTAGGCCGGGGAGGGGGATGGTGGGCGGGCATAAGATTTGAAGGCTGGTTCTGGTGGGTGCAAATGGGAGGGCCTGGTGATGCATTATTACTAGGAGTGGGTGCTCTGTGGGTTCTGAGGCTGAAAGTAAGGACTGTCATCATACCTAGGTGGAAGTTGAGCTCCTGTCTCGGCAGAGTGGGCTGTCTGGCCGCCAAGTAGAGCGCTGGTTTCGCCGCCGCCGCAACCAGGACCGGCCAAGTCTCCTCAAGAAGTTTCGTGAAGCCAGGTGGGGAAGTTGGGGTAGAGGAGTCTAATGGGGCTTTGCTGGGAGGCTGGGGCTGTTTCAGGGAGTGAAGTGTCTGTCCTTTGAGAGCACGTGGGACTGCTGGGGGCCGTGCTGTCCTCCTAACTCTGTGCTTCTTCTTGCAGCTGGAGATTCACATTTTATCTGATTGCCTTTGTTGCTGGCATGGCTGTCATTGTGGATGTGAGTGAGATTACTGGGAAGTGGGCAAGACCAGAGTGGGTCTTTCCTCGTTTAAACTTTCTTTACTGTCTCAATGCAGAAACCTTGGTTCTATGACCTGAAGAAAGTCTGGGAGGGATATCCCATCCAGGTATGGAGTGGGCCCTCCTAGGGGCAGGTGGCCACAGATACCCTTGAGAAGAGTTCTGAACACAGGGCAGAAGAATGAATCATGGAAGCAATAAGCTCAGGGGCTGGAGGGGCTGGGACTAGAGCAGGAGATCCTTGGGCTAGCTGTTCTGGGTCTCTTAATTCTCTCTGCTTTCCCAGAGCACCATCTCTTCCCAGTATTGGTACTACATGATTGAACTTTCCTTCTACATGTCGCTGCTCTTCAGCATTGCTTCTGATGTCAAGCGAAAGGTAGGTGAAGGTGTTACACAGTTAAGCCCAAGGGGTAAATGAGGAGTTGGATGTGGTGGTATATAGCACTGAGGAGTCTGAAGCAGGAGGATTATGAGCCTGGGTAGTAGGGTGGCCTACCGACCAAGCTCTAGTTGGCCTGGACTGTGTAGTGAGACCTTGTCTAGGCCAAGGGGAGCAAAATGAGGTCTTGAGATGGACAAGCCTCTCCTTTGACTTATTTTTTTGATACTGGGAATTGAACTCAGGACCTCACACTTGCCAGGCAGATGCTGTGCTGTTGAGCTATATCCCCAGCCCTCTCCTTTGACTTTTTTTCAGCTTTGGCCAGAAGTGTTGGGACATGGGACATATTTTGTATGTGTATGCATGTGGGAAATGGGATGGGGAGCAGGAGGGTTCCCTGGAGCCTGCATCTTTGCAGGATTTCAAGGAACAGATCATCCACCACGTGGCCACCATCATCCTCATCAGCTTCTCCTGGTTTGCCAATTACATCCGCGCAGGGACTCTCATCATGGCTCTGCATGACTCTTCAGACTACTTGTTGGAGGTTAGGTTTCCTCAAACTAAAGGTCCCAGTGCAGTCCTCTGTCCTGTTTTGGGGGTGAGGAAGGCAGTGACATTCCCAGGATCAAAGTGTGGGACTCAGAGCCAGTGCTGCTAACTGGGTGATGTACCTGGGAGTCCGGGGCCCAAGATGATGATGGATGGGGGCTATTTACAGTCAGCCAAGATGTTTAACTACGCGGGCTGGAAAAACACCTGCAACAATATCTTTATCATCTTCGCCATTGTTTTCATCATCACCCGCCTGGTCATCTTGCCCTTTTGGTAAGTAGGTGGTCAGGCTGTCCTTGCCTCAAAAACTAAGGAGGGCTCCCCACTCCATTGACAACTGTGTTTCTCCCCTTGAATCCTCAGGATCCTACACTGCACACTGGTGTACCCACTGGAGCTCTATCCTGCCTTCTTTGGCTATTACTTCTTCAATATCATGATGGGAGTGCTACAGATCCTGCATATCTTCTGGGCTTACCTCATTTTGCGCATGGCCCACAAGTTCATAACTGGAAAGGTGAAAACTCTGTCCCCACTTTGTGGGCCTTACTGCTCTCAACTCTCGACCTTCCCAAATTCCTTGTCATGCCAGCAGCACTTCCAAAACTATGATAGCGGGCTGGGGATATAGCTTAGTGGCACAAGTGCCTGTCTGGCAAGCATGAGGTCATGAGTTCAGTCTCTGGTGCTACCAAAAAACCAAAACAAAACCCCAAAAAGCAAAAAGAGAAAACTACATAGGAACAGGCTCTGAGAGGCAATTTTTACGCTTGAGGCTATCAGGTAAACCATCTTATTCCATTTCTAGGTGATAGAAGATGAACGAAGTGACCGCGAGGAAACAGAGAGCTCTGAGGGAGAGGAGGTTGTCACTGGGGCAGGAACAAAGAGCCGGCCCCTAGCCAATGGTCACCCAGTCCTCAATAACCACCACCGTAAGAATGACTGAGCATCACCTCCACTGCCTCCCAGATGAATGCATAAAGCCAAGGAACTAGCCAACCTTACCTATAGGCTCACTTTAAGCTCTGGGGGAAAAGGAGAAGGGTAGAAGAGACTTCTGCATTCCCTTTTTTCTTTGTCGCCCGGTTGCCTTTAAACCAAATTCTAACCAGCCTATCCTTGGGTGAAGAGGTGGGTTATATATCTTTTGTTAGAGGGAGGATGGTCTGACTTTTTTCTGTCCTCCAGATTATCCTTTCTGTTGCTTTTAACCCCTTCATCAGCTCTAGGGTAGAGTTATAACTCACATTCCTTATTCTTGAGGATTTGGCCCTGTTTGCCTTTTGACTCCTTGGCCTTGAGAAGTGCCAGGGTTGTGCCTTACTGTCTGATCTGTGGGCCTAATTCTGCCAAAGCTGGACCAAGGCTCACTTTTCTAAGCTAACTTGGGCCAGAAACCAAAGCTGAGTTACTCTGAACTCTTTCCTCTAAGACACCGTGAACTGAGTGTAGGGGGTGCACCTGACCTTACCCTACCTCTGCCAGAGTGGGGACTAGATGAGGACACTCAGATGGTCTCCGTGTTATTTCCCTGCCAGCCGACCCTGTGGCCACATGTTCAAGATCTTATTGTTTCCTTCTCGGGCCTTTTTTCTTCCTTCAACTAGTTTAGCTGGTTTGGGGTAAAATGGCAACTAGTTCTAATTTTTATTTATTAAACATTCGAGGTTTCGATTTTAAAGCCAGAATTATAGCTGGCACCTGGCATGTCAGCAGTGGGACCATTTCAGATGAAAATGTACTGTTAAAAGGTTTTTTTTAATGAAAATATATTAAAGATTAAATAACACATGTCAACAGGTGTCAGACTATTAGGAATTGAGAAAGGGGATCAACTAAATAAACTAAAATAGTCTTTCTTATGCTTTTGCTGCAGTTAACATTTTCTTTTTAAAATTCACATGACAAGAAAAAATGAGTAGGAAAAAACAAGATTAATGAGAGCTGCCTATTGGGGAGGATAAGGGAAACAAACCTCTCATTGAAAAGATCAGTGTATGAAAAATGGGGCTGAGGGAGAAATCAAAGAGCAATCTTACTTGTACCACGTTAAAATACTTTCATGAAGTAACACAAACCAGGGATACCAGATACCTACCCCTGGCCCAGAAGTAAAGTCTATGATGAACACTTGAACAGACATGGGACAGGAGAATGTCAGGCCTAGGTGAGAGCGGCGCTCTCTTCCCACCCCAGTGCCTTAGGAAGCCATGGAGGTACTCTGCCTGCTAGCACCACATTGGAAGAGATCTCTGGATCTAGAACTCCCATTTCTATCTACCCGGAGCTAGGGGAAGTAGCTAGACCAGAAACTTGGGGTCAGAGTTCAGCAGTGGGGAAGACCCATTTCCTGAGGACAGGACAGTTGCAGAAGGGTTCCCAGGGTGAGGAAGAAGTCTGTCCTCTAGAGAAGACGACCTCTGCATTCGATGGCCCCACAGCAGCACAGCAACTCCTTGCCTTCCACACTGCCCACCTCGTAGTTATAGTCCCAAGTAAGTTCTGTCCCAGCCCGGATTCTCCTGAGGGGGAAGAAAAAGGAGATGTGTGATAGTGTAGCCAGTGACACAGAAGCCTAGGTTACACAGTGCAAACATGAAAGGGGACCACAGATGGCAGGTGTGAATTCACAATTTCCAAGGTCCTTGCCTTTCCCCACTCCTCCCAAAGAATCCCCTCTGTTGACTCCGTCTTACTTGCTGGCAAAGAAGGCTACCCAGGGGAAGCGAAGATCATGAGTATCCACGAAGACATTCTGGACAAACAGGTTGGGGCTGCAGCTATGCTGTAGATTTAAGAACAGCAGTGAATCAGAACCAGGTACACAGAGTTTGGTTTGGGGGTGGTGGTAAGAACTGCAAGAAAATGATGGTATCTGACCCTCCCCATCATAAAGATGTTTTGGAAGAAAGCTACTCAAGATTCGGTTTTTTTTTTTTTTTTTTTGCTTTGAGACAGGGTCTCACTGTAGTTCAAGCTGGCCTTGAACTTGGCGGTGATCCTGCTGCCTAAGAGTGCTAGGATTACAAGTATGCCACCACACCCAGCCTTCAAGATCTTAGGAAATCAGTTTATAGGAGGAAAAAGTAGATTTCCATAGTATGTCAAAGAACAAAAGCTGAGCCCACGGATTAATTCCACACCCAGGGTTAGGGGGAGGTCTCACATTGAGATAGCGGCCCAGGTTGCCTTCAAGCTTGGCATCAATGATGTAACAGGACTCTTCACCATCATAAAACTGACGTGTGTTTTTACGGACAGGTGCGCTTTCCCCCTTGTCCACGGAGGCCATGTTGGTCGATTTAATGGCAATGCCATGGGTCGATTTAAGAGCAAAGCCTCGGGTTGATTTCACTGCTACTTGACGCTTCGTTGGACCTGGACAAGAAATGGTCCGATGTTGTCAGGACCTATTCCAACTCACAGCCAGATATTACTCTATCCTGATCTTTATCCCACACACTATAGCTCAAGAATGTCAACAAGGGGGCTGGGGATTTAGCTCAGTGGCGTAAGCACCTGCCTTGCAAGCAGGCAGTCATGAGTTCGATCCCCGGTACCGATAAAAAAGAAAAAGCCAAAAAAAAAAAAAAAAAAAAAAAAAAAAAGAATGTCAACAAGGTAAGTTTCAGGCAAAGACCCTAAGTGGCAGTTTTCAAGTAGGATTACGCAAAGAATAAGGAATGGACATGTCAAACACAACAGTTTAGCTCAGGGGCCTCCCAGAAATGCTCCCACATTTAAAATCTGAATCGCACTCCCTTACTTCTTTGGCTTCCCTTACAAATGCTCTATGGGGCTGGAGATACAGATCAGCAGCACAGTGCCTACCTGGCAAGTGCTAGGGGCCGAGTTTGATTCCCAGTACCCACTCCCCCCAAAAAAGCTCTATGCCTATTTTCCTGTTTCTTCCTACCACTCCCAAAATTCTTCCAGACTACCAGACATGTTCTTCTTGTCCTCAAAGTCATCCCCTTCAGAGCCAGAGGAAATGGTTTGGATATCATCACTGTCAACTGCTGTGGCTGAAGTCTGACCAGCAGTGGGCTTCCGGCTGGTCCCACTTTCCCCCTCACTTTCTGTGCTGCTGGACAGTGTCAGGACATCCTAGGGAAGCAGAGTGTGAGAAGAGGAGTAAGTGGAAAGGCTCCTTCAAGTTCTTGCTTTTACTTAAGGCTAGGCAGAAGGGGCTTAGACTAGCAAGAGGAAGATTAGATGCTGAAGAAGATGAGTCAAGAGGAAGTCAAGGCCAAATAAATAAAAGAGACTTATTATTTTATACAAAGGACTTGAGGCGAGAACTGTCTCAGCTCCTGTACTTGGATTCTAAATAGAACAGATAGGAATGCAGCTCAAGAAAGGCACTTACATCAGGGTTGGACTGTGCAGAGGCAAGGAGTCGCCGGCTCTGATGCATGCTCGTCTTACTAGGTGGGCGTCGAAGTCCTTCAGGCTTCACTGGAGAAGGATTGTAACCATAATTTCGAGAGCTTTCAGTGATACTGATGGGATAAGAGTAAGAGGAAGACAAGTTATTGGCTATTTCTTGGTCTATTTTTTTTTGCGGGGGAAGATAGGGTCTCACTTGTAGTCCAGGCTGGTCTGTATCCCTGGCTGGCCTTAGCCTTGCAATACTCCTGCCTCAGCCTCCCAAGTGTTAGGTTACACGTGCCACCTTGCCTAGCTTCTTAGGCTTTCACAGGCTTTAGAGAAGACAGATTTGGAAGTAGTTCAAAAGAAAAGCACTTACACTGACATCTTGTTTCCGTCATCAGGGTCCTACAAAAAAGCAAGCGCAGCATTAAGTGCTTTAGTGGGCCACTGTAATGAGTCTAACAATTAGATTTTATTTCAAATGACCTCTAAGGTAACATTGACCAGTGGGAGGTCACTAGCTAAAGCCAGACAGGGTCAGGAAATCACTTTGACTTGATGGAACAGTCATATTCCCATCTCTATAAACTCTTGTCAGGCTTTTTTTTTTTTTGTCTTTTTCCTTTTTAGCGGTACCGGGGATCAAACTCATGACTGCCTGCTTTCAAGGCAGGCGCTTATGCTGCTGAGCTAAATCCCCAGCCCTGTCACAGGCTTTTAATCCTTTCCCACAAGGGGAGAGCCTCACAGGGATCCAGGACCCAGTCTGATCACCCCTAACATGGAAAAGTTCAACACCATTAAAGGTACACTTGGAGTCAAGTTGTTTTTTTTTTTTTTTTTTTTTGTACTGGGAATCGAACTCAGGACCTCATGCTTGCCAGGTAGGTGCTGCACTATTGTTTTGAAATAGGCCCTTGCTATATTATCTGGGCTGCCCTCGAATTTGTGGGTTCAAGCAATCTTCTTGCCTCAACCTCCTCCCTACCCTGATGCTCCTAGTGTTGCTAGGACTACAAGTGGCCACTGCACCGAAGTTTGAAAATTTTTGTTGTTCTCCTGGGGAGTGAACCTAGGGTCTTCACTCTGAGTTACATCCTCAGGCCCCTCCCCATCTTAAATTTTGAAATAGAGTCTAAGTTGCCTAAGCTGTAAGCCGCAAGCCTCCTCTGTCTTAGCCTTCAGAGTGTGGAGATTATAGTTATGTGCCGCCACATCCACTTTAAAATCAATTTGTTGGGCAGGGGTTTAGCTCTGTGGTATAAGTGCCTGCCTGGCAAGCATGAGGTCCTGAGTTTGATCCCTGGTACCAAAAAGAAAAAAAAAAAGGAAAAAAAACAAAAACAAAAACAAAAAAAACACAACCTGTTTCCGTTACTCTCCCTGCCTTTCTTCTCTTCCTTTCATGTTTCTAAGACGGGATCTCACTATGTAGCCTAGACTGGCCTTTGAAATCACAGCAATCCTGTTTGTGCTTCCTGAGTACTGCAATTACAAACGTGGGTCACAATGCCTGGCTTTGTTTCTGTGCTTTAAAGTAAAAGCCAGCAATGGTGCAGAGAATTGAAATATCAACATATATATACACACATAAATCCTTCACTTTCAAGTGATATACTCCCCTTTTTCTACCACGTGAATCTTAAAATAATTTGGTTCTTTAAACAAATACTGGGAATGTACTGGGTTGAGAAGAAAGCTAATCAGGTTGCCACAGAAATATCTGTCATGTAAATAATCTACATGCAAACACTTGTGATACTGAGATACTGAATTCATTACTACATTAAAGTTAAAAGCCACAGCTTAGGGGTGGGGGGCTTGGCTCAGTGATGCAGAACCTGCCTGGCAAGCATCCTGAATTCAATTCCTGGTACAAAACAAAACACACTACTTACCTCTTTTTTAGCCTGCTTGCTGTCGCCCTCATCCTTGATTCCCAATCCTGAGGCAGAGGTCTTCTCAGCCTCCCCTCGGCCTCCCGCAGCCCGGCCCTCACCACCCTCACTTGTCTTAAAGGATGAGCGGCTGTCAGAGTCAGCAAAACCACCTTCGCTGACACTATTGCAGCTCAACCAGGAGGCCACCTTGTTCTTGGGTGTCTCTTCAGAGGAAGGTGGATTGCAGCCCCCTACAGGGATTGCGGGAGGAAGAGGAATGTGTGGTGGCCCAAGGTCTGGGGGGCGAGAATCTTTGGAAGCCACCTCCGACAGTCCATTCTCCTTTTGGCCCCGGGTCTGTCTCCGAGTGGCATAGCTGCGCCACACTGAGCTGGTGCTGAAATCTTCATCCTTACAGAAATTATCATCTGAGCTATCATCATTGGACTCTTCAGCATCCTCTGTACCACTATTGCCATCTTCCTGGTCTTTCAAGTCCACACCACTGCTGTCAGAGGAACAGGGAACGTCACTCTCATATCCTTCCTTGAAGTTCTCCACGCTTTCAATATGGTCCAAATTTGCAAAGTACTCATCACCCATTTCCAGGCCCTCCTTGTCTGCAAAGTCATCGGTCAGGATTTTACCTGAGAAAGAAAAGAATTAAAGACCTTCTAGAGTTATGAGGAGCTTTTTTTTTTAATCGGTACCAGGGATTGAACTCACAACTACCTGTTTGCAAGAAGGCAGGCGCTTATGCCACTGAGCTAAATCCCCAGCCTGAGGAGCTTTAAATATATGTGCTACTGAAGCTGAGGTGGGAGGATTGTTGTGAGTTCAATGCTGGCCTGGGCTACTTAGTACTTTAAGGTCAACCTGAACCTTAAGGTTGACCTTAAGACGCTAAGATCAACCAGAGATAGTGGGATCCTATCTCTGAATGAATGAATATCAATCTCTTGAGTGCAAGAAAATGACACGAGGAGTCAGCAATCATTGTCTCCTCTTAAAGGGCAGTGCTGATGATTTCACCCTTTTTTATCCTTGTCTGTATGAAGCACTCTGTCCCTTTAGGGTCATTCCAGCTAGGCACATCAGTCATCATGTTATGCAAAGAGGGGATCCCTAACAACTCTTATTCCTGGTTCAAACATCAAGCATTTTATTCTTTTTAAAATTTTGTGGTATGGGGAAGTGAACCCAAGATTTGCTTACTATACATGTAGTACTTATTAATGAGCTACATCCCTCAGCCATGAAGCACTTTTTTCTTCAAACTGTCTCTGATTCAATCCTCCACCACATCCCAACCTTTATCCCATTACCAACCTGCATAAATACACACAAAAGAGCCTTTCGCAATGTCGTCCAAGCAGCGGATACCCCAGCCTTTGTTCTGGGTCTTAAATAGCTGTAGCCGGACCTGTAGCCCATGCTGCACCAACCGGTTTGTGCACATGTTTGGGTCACATTTGCACCGTTTGTTACATTCATATACCCTACAGGAAGTTGGAATAAAATCAATCATGATAAGATCAGTAAAGCACTAGAAAGCCATAAAACGTTACTAAGGTTGAAAATTAGGTAGTTATCCACCCTCCCAAATTTAAAGACCCAGTCCAAAAATAGGTATCTGAAATGAAGAGACACTTCAAGTAGAAATGGCACATAAATACATGAAAAAAATCTTCAATATCACTTGTCACTCAAGAGGTTCAAATTAAAACAACACTGAGATTCCATCTCTAAGAATGGCTATTATCAAGAAATCAACCAATAACAAGTGCTGGCAGGGCTGTGGGGAAAAAGGAATCCTTCTCCATTGTAAGTGTGAGTGTAGACTGGTACAACCACTATGGAAATAAGTCTGGTAATTTCTTAAAAAATTAAAACTAGGAGTTCCACTCAATAGTTATTCCGCGTTTTGGTATCTTGCCTAAAGAATTGAAAGCATCATATCACAGTGATGTATGCATACCCATGTTCATAGCTGCAGTTTATACTAGTCAAATCTTGGAAACAGTCCAAATGCCCATCAATCAGTGAATGGATAAAGATGTGATTTTTTTTTTATACAATAGAGTACCTACTAGTCTGCCATAAAGATGAATAAGCCTGAGACATTTCTAGCTAAATGGATATATCTTGAGATCATACTCTTATGTGAAATAAATTGGACACATAAGTTTAAATACCATATCATTTCTTTGATATGAGAAACTAAAAGGGTAAACAAGGACTAAAAAATGTAATAGACATTGAGAAATGGGAAGAAAATGTTCAAATAAGAAGGGAAACAAGGGAATGGGGAAGGGGAAAGGAAAGAAGGGCAAAGAAAAAAATGAGAATAGAAAGAAAAAATGAAATAAACCTTTTGTAAATAAGGAAGAGGGGATGAAGAGAGGAGAATGGGAAACAAGAAGCAAGATTTATCCTGAACAGGTACAGATTCCCTGTGATGAATGTTATCATTATGTATACCTAAAATGTACCAATAAAATTTTTAAAGAGCCAAAAAATTAGGAAATGATCTAAGTCAGTGGATTTGCAGAATGTCAGTCTTTGATTCATTTTAGTACTATCCCAAGGAAGCAATTCTGAAGAGGGAAGGATGATTTTTATATGGAAAGAGTACATAAAAGAAAACACCAAAATGCCAAATACTCAGAAAACAGCTAAGTGACATGAACACAGACTACAGAACACTGTAAGTATATGTGGGAATGCGTCTGTAAACCCGAGAAAGGGCAGTGAGAAGAGCAGATGCCGGTGTAAGAGACCGAGGGGCTGGGGATTTAGCTCAGCGGCCCAAGTGCTTGCCTATCAAGCATGAGGTCCTGAGTTCAATCCTGGGTACAGGAAAAAAAAAAAAAAAAAGAAAAAATAAGAAAGAAAGAAAAAAAGAAAAGACTAAAAACAAATAAAGACATAGGAAGAGCAGGTACTAATTTTTATGAGATTCTGGGAACAAAATTCATTTTCTTTCATTTAGTAAACAATCAGCAAGAGTTATATAACACACTAGGAACACAGTAACAAAAAAGGTTATGATATTTACTCTCAACGAGCTTATATTCTCAACTTAGTAACCTAAGGTTTTTGTTTTGTTTTGTTTTTGTCTGAGACAGGGCATCACTATATAGTCCAGGCTGGTTCCTCAAACTCAAGTGTTCATTCTGCCTCTGCCTCCCGAGTGCTGGGATTATAGGCAGTTGCCACCATACCTGGCTTAGCATACAACAACATTAAAGGAAAACAATAGTTATACCAAGAAAACCAACTGCTATGCTTTGCTCAGTATGACGGTTTATGTATTTTCCTGGCTGGGCAGATTTAAAGGAGAGTGTTACTTGTGTAAAGATGTTACTAGTGTGATTATCTGACTGATGACATCAGCCATACCCATCTGAGTGAAGATGATGAAAGCAGCTTCTATTAGCTGAAAATATACTTTGTGTTTTGCATTGCATATGTGTTACATATTTTTATTCTATCCTCAAGCAGACCTTAAATTTTTAAAAAAAACTTTGTGCCTATATGTGGCATTGGGGATTAAACTCAGGGCTTTGAGCATGGTAGGCAAGGACTCTATCACCGAGCTATATCCCCAGTCTATTCTATTTCATTTTTGAGTTATAGTTTAAGTTCCCTAGGCTGTACTCCAACTTGTGATTCTCCTGCCTCAGTCTCCCCAGTAGTTAGAATTTAGGTGTGTGTCACTGCACTCGTGTTTATTTTATTTTTTTAATTTTAGAAAGAGTAACTGCAGTGACATATATATAAATAGGTCTGACAGGCACGATGATATGTGCTTGTAATCCTAGCACTTGGGAACTGAGGCAGGAGAATCATGAGTCTGTGGGCAGTCTGAGGCAAGGCACATAGTGAAACTCTTTCTCAAAATTCACAAAAAACAAAAAACTATAGCTCAAATATTCAAGAATATACCGTTTAATCAGCATCACATCAGGAAACAATTCTGTGAGGTCCTCTAGGTCCCTACTGGGAAGGAGGCAGGTGCTATTTGTGTTCATATTCTATTTACAGCTGATAAAACAAGATCAGCTTGGAAGGGGCAGGATCTGATTAGAACTCAGGTCTCATCACCACCATACAGAACCTGTAGAGAACACATGCTGAGTATTATTCATTCATCTCAAAAAATGTTTCAGTGGGTACATGACCCCGGTATTGTGTACATGAAAGACTAGGAGAGAGTTGGCAGAAGACAGACCAGGACACTCTTACGGAGCTTACACTGTTTTTAATTCCTTTTCTTTCTTTTTGAGACAGGATCTTGCTATGCAGTTCAGGCTGGCCTTGAGCTCATTTTGTAGCCCAGGCTTGTCTTAACTTGCAATGATCCTCCTGCCTCAGCCTTCCGAGTGCTGGGATTATAGGCATGCACTACCATACTCCACTTTTTTGTTTTTGAGACAGGGTCTCTTCTATACAGTCCTAGCTGGTCTTAAACTTGTAGCAATCATCCTGCCTCAGCCTCCTAAGTGCTGGGATTATAGACGTGTGTCGCCATGCCTGGCCGATACAGCTCACATTCTAATAGGAAAATGGAACAAAAGAGTCAACATAGTTGTTATGCATGTGAGAAGAATACAAACATAGTCCTTGATGAGAGAATTCAGTGAGGGAAAAATGGCCCAGTTTAGTGAGCAGAAATGTCTCTCTGAGGAGGCAAGACCAGAGCTGAGCACTCAAGATTGAAGAAGATAGCCATAAAATGAACAGTGGAAGGGGCCAAGAAAAACACACAGTGTGTATAATGGCCCCAGAAGGGGGCTAAAAAGCACAAGGAGAACTGCACTCGGGCACTGAAGCATATCAGTGTGGCTGAAAACACTCTGCAGGCAGAGAGATAGGAAGGCCAGATAGTACAGTGTTTTGCAACCCAAGGTTAGTAAGGGTAAGAATAAAACCCAAGTCCAATGCGAGACAACTATTTTCAAGCAGAGAAGTGACATGTTATTTGTGGTTATTTAAAAAAAATGTACACACACACACACACACACACACTCTCACTCACTTTGAACTCACTTTATAGCCCAGGCTGGTCTTAAGTTCACAATGATCCTTCTACCTCAGCCTTCCAAATGCAGGGATTCTAGGCATGTGCCACCATGCCCGGCTCAAAAAAAAAAAAAAAAAAAGATATATGGCTGGGGATGTAGCACAGTGGCAGAGTGTTCTCCTACCACGAGATGCCCTGGGTTCCAACCCCAGACCACCTACCCCAAAACGCATTTATATAAAAAACATGCTGGGCATGGGGCTCACGCCTGTAATCCCAGCACTCAAGAGGCTGAGGCAGAAGGATTGTTGAATGTTCGAGACCAGCCTGGGTTACAAAGTGAGCTCAAGGCCGGTCTGAACTACATAGCAAGACCCTGTCTCATTTAAAAAAAAAAAAAAAAAAAACCAACCAAAAAAACATTTTGAACACATGAAAAAAATAAACAACAGCTACTACCTAGCATTACTAAATGTAAACATTAAATAGGGCTCAGAATTTTGTTAATTTGTTTCTTGAGATGGTCTCATTTTGTAGTCCAGGCTGACCTGGAATTGTGTAGCCCAGGCTGAGTTTGAACTTGAGGCCATTCTCCTACCTCAGCCTCCTGAGTGCTGGAATTATAGGCATGTGGTACTGTGCCCTGAGCAGAAATTTTGTTTATAAGTAAAGCATAATGCCTGTGATTATCACTGCATAGGAGCAATGGTAGAATGGGCAAGGCCATAAAGGAAACAAGCTAGATCCATTCCCACATCTGGGAGGTAATCTCATTGACCAGAGGAAGCAGGATTTTGCATTTCAAAACCAGTCCACATGATAGGGTCAGTCTACTATGTCAAGTTAAAGTTTGTGGTCCCCAACAATGAAGCAGGTCTGGAAGTCCTCTTTTGACAGTGTTCATGAAGTGAGGTCAACAGTATGGTTAATGCTGTTGCCAAGCACCATCCAGGGAAAGCAGGCTTGTGAAAACATGATGGTATGTCCTCGTGTACCTGCTTCACAGCATCTGACGACATGGGACCTCTTTTCCACTCTAAAGTCTAAATGACTATGAGATGTAAAACATCTAAGCTGAGGCAGCCAGGACAGTGTGACTAAAGAGTTGAAGGAGAACCTCCAGAAAACACTTCAGACAGTGGCAAGAACAGGATAAACATATTGGAAGCAAGGGGGAGCATTCTGAGGGAGACTGATGGCAATGTCTCTTTTATCGCAGTAATTTCTTTTGTAATTTAAACATTCACCAAATCTTTTAATCACTCCTCATGAAAGGTCAGAATACAAAGGACAAAAGAGTCATAAAATTTCAAACTGAGACAAATTATCAATTAGGTGTTCAGATAGGTTACAGAAATACTTTAGATACAGTAGGTCAAAGGTTTTCATTATTTCCTTTCCCAGGGCCAACAGACAAGAGGATCCACCCCAAAAGAGGAGGTAGAAACATCCCAAACTGCTGCTGTGTCTGCA